TGAACTCCCCACAGCCAGGGGTGGTGGAAGGCACCCAAGCCGCCTCCTCCCCCAACCCAAATTCCGGTTTTCCTTGGGCCTTTTAGGTCACCCAGGGTCTCTCCCTGGAGTCTAGGCTGGCACTACTTTCCCCTGCGCAGGGGCGAGGCCGCGGCGGTGGCGGCGGCGCTGTCGCTGGCGGTGGCCATGGCCATGGCCATGGCGGTGGCTGTGGCCGCGGGCGCCCGGGGCTGTCGAGAGTGGACCTCGGGTCGGAGTGCTGGCGGGTATGGGGCAGAGCGCAGGGAGGAGTGTTTGTGTCGCCGGCGGCGTGTACTAGGGGACGGACAAATCTCACAGCTACCACATACCCACTGCCACCCAGCGCCAAGAAAAGATGAGAAGAATACAAAAAGGAAAAGAAGAAAGGGACCTAGAAAGTCAGAGTGGAGATCTGGAGCTTGAGGACAGGGAGGCGCCGCGCTCCTGCTGGGCAGACTCGGAGCCTGGGCGACCGCAGGCAGGACAAGCTGCAGCGTAGACTGTCCTGGGGACGCGGGAGGGCGGCCTGGGTGCGGTGCCGCTGACAGCTCCGCCTGCCCGACGAATTCACCCCATTTCTCCGCTCTCCCGCGGATATTTGCATTCGCACAAGAGAGCCTCGGCGTCGCCGCCAGGGCCTGGGACTGGGGGACCCTCTCTTGGACAGTTCCGTGGCTCAGCAGCCAGGAGGGCTGCAGCGGGCGGGAAGATGGAGAAAGGGACGCGGTGGCGGAGGCAGGCGGAGGCAGAGGGCGTGCTCCCTCTGGGTCAATACCAGGGTGTGTGTTGGTTGGGGCGGGGTGTATCGGCGGGTGAATTTTTATTTTTCCGGGCGGGTCTCTTACTCGCCCCGCGGGGGGCAGCACCGGCGCCTGGTAGAGCGCACAGGTGGAATCTCTGCGCGTCCTATCTGGCACCCGGCTGGGACCCCACCTCGCGCGTTCTCAAAGCTACAAGTGAAAGACGATTGTCCAGTTCCGCAGGTGCCCGGACATCAGGAGTGCAGCGGTCCCTACTTTGAGGCCCGCCGGGGTGGCTCGGGACCCACTGTGAGTTGGGTGGCGAAGCCCAGGCATAGCCTGGAACCTCATGGGCGCCGGTCTGGGACCCCGTCAGCCGCGGCAGACAGACGTCCTGCGCAGGGCTGAAACAGGCTTTGCCAACCTCTCCTCTGCCCTGGGACCTTCTCCCGGTTCCTATTCTCTTAGGTCCCTCGGTCGCAGTCCAGGACCTCAACGCCGGACCTCTCCCTAGCGCCCGAGGTCTGCTCCGAAGGCGGAGCCGGGGCGAGTCGGGCCTCTACTCTCCGCGCCCTGAGGACGCGGTCTGACCCCCGGTAGGAAGGAGCGGAGAGGCGTGCGCTGCACCGCTCTCCCGGTCTTTTCCGCTACCGCATCTGGGGTGGGCGGCGGGAGGGGGCAGGTGACAGTGGAGAAGGAGGCTGGAAGACACCGCGATGCGGGACAGCACGGCCCCGGCAGCCTCCGCCACATTCCGCTGGACTCCGCGTCCAGCAGACTCGCACACCCGCCCCCTTCTTTCCAGACCCGCCATCGTTGCCCTGCGCCCTCCGAGCTCCGGGAGTCAAAGTTTCCGGTTGAGAATTTCACGTGTGGGGTGGGGACTCCCTCCAGTTCCCCCATCCTCGACCCCTCCGCGTCTGGTTTCGGGGACTGGGACAGACCCCGGGTGCCAGAGCCCCGGGGGCCGGCGGGCGGAGGCCCGGCAGCGCGGTCCCCTTACCTGTCGCTGCTTAGCTCCAGTTGCCCCTTGGCGGTGGTTTGGTGGAGACTGGCAGGAGCGAGGAGCCCTTCGTGGGCTCAGGGCCGACCCGCCCGGCGCGAACTGCGCGCCGCTTGGAGTCCGAAACCAGCCGCGGGCTTGCTTTCTCCCTTGATCGTGCAAAAGAAAAGGAAAAGATGAGTTGGTGCCGCGACACTGGCGGGCGGGGCGGGGGAGGCGGAGAGAGAGTCGACCCGAGGCTCTGGCGAGAGCGGCGGGGCTCGCGCGCTCGGCGGAGTCGCGCGCCCCACACGCGCCCCAGCCACTCCGCCAGTCTGGGACCTGTTCGCGGTTTAGGCAGGAGTTAAATAGACGCTGCCCCTCCCTCCACACCCCGCCACTGAACTATAAGCAAACAAGACTTTCAAACCTGGCTTGCACGACGAGTCTGGAGACCAAAATAGAACCGAGACCTGGACGCCCCAGCCAGCTGGGCTGGCTTCATTGCTTCTCCAAAGCGCTTGGGGAAGTAGGGGGGAGTTTGGGAGGCAACACCTATTCTGGTGCCTTGGGCGATTTCCCAGTGGAATCTGCGACTTCCAGGCTTCGGTCAGCCAGCAGCCTGGTGTGTGCGCGTGTGTGCGCGTGTGCGCCCGCGCGCGGCCACTCCGGTGGCTCTCTGCGCCCGGGCGCCTTTGGTAGAGCAAGAGAGCGTGTCTGTGTTCGTGCGTGTGTGTTCTATTAGCTGCAATGGGCGGACAATTTCTGGAGAGAACGTTTACAATTTTCTTTCAATATGACAGGATTAGTTGCTGTTGAAGGAGCTCCTCCAATGAAATCTCCTCTGCTCTCTGATTTGGCGGTTCTTCCGAGCAAACATGACAGCCTTTCTTCAGGCTCTTTTCCGCTCCTCTCCATCTCCATCCCCAGAGCCCAGCTCACCATCTGCAATTTTCGCAGCAGAACCACCCAACCCCAGGTCCCATTCCTGCAAGTGTAGGATTGCTGCCAAGGAAACACGGTGTGTCCCGGAGAACGCAGTGTTGCTTTTTGATTGCCGAAGACACTTAAGCACAGTTTTTCCAGGTGGGAAAATATTAGAACTAAATCCACTATGCTTTGTGAGTATGTAACCTGCTGAGCTTTTCACAGATTGTTTATTTATTTGGAACTTAACAAATGTATTTGAAGGAGAGGCATTTTTTCCTCTTATTTTAAACATGGGCAAATGACCATATTTTCTTTAACTAGTGGGCAGTAGACTGCGAAATATATATGGTTGCTTCAGAGAATTTGTGATGTACATGAAAAAAAATAGGATGCACACTTTTTGTGTTTAGAACAGCCTTACATTTTTATTTCTTTATTTTAATGAGAAATTCCTTCCAATAATTGTACTCTTTATTTTTAGGTACTGACTTTATTTGACAAAGGTACAATGATATATCTCAAAGCATAGCTGAGGACAAAACTTGCTTGTGTAAAAACACACATATGTGTATGTGAAGAAAACATTAATGTATGATAATTACATATGCTTCATTTTCTCTCACCTAACTTCAATCAAATGAAAAAAATAAGTTGAATCCTTAAATTGAATAACCCAGAATTGGATATCTCACGTTTGGGTTCATAGAGACAGAGGAAGAGTAAGTTCAAAGATGCATTGATTTAATACCTCCAATTAAACCTAGTTCAATTATTGATATCCATGCCTTTGCTAGGTGTAAAAGGGCATGCAAAATAGCAAAAGCCACTGTTCCTGAATATTTTGTTTTGGTTTCCATTCCTACTGGCAAGAAAAGATAATCGTCTGAAACATCTATATAGCAGTTGACAAACAAGATGATTAATTACACAAAAATATAAGTTTATTCATAAATGGAGATATTGTAGCTGAAAGTTTCTTCCCTTTGTGTAAACTCATTGCTGTCACCAAGCATAACCTGGTACAAACTTGATTGTGCTTGAGTGCAGTCATCCTGAAATAAAGCATTAAAATACTGTGTCTTGGCCTTCAACCCCCACTCTCACATCCCACCAGCACTGGAGGCTTATAAGCTACCTGTCAGAAAATCGAAGCAATTCTGTCTGGGTTTGGTTCAGCCTCTCTCAGCATCTGTTTCATTATGTTAAATATCTGATTTTGTCACTTCTCCTTTAGGTGCTCTTTTGAAAATTAATTCATATTTCCTTCCTTACTTCATTCTGTCTACTAAGCCTCCATAAGCCCATGAAGTTGCTTGAATCTTTCTGAACACACACACACACACACACACACACACACACACACACCCCAACGCAAAAAAAAAAAAATGAAGGGGAATAGACCCCTGACCAGCAATAAAGAAGAAAGTTCAGTGATTTGTTGCTATTTTATTCTTTAATATCATTGAGAACATTAAGCCCCTTTTTACTAACAGGCCTCACATCCCCAAATAAGCAATAAAGTGAATAGCCAATGAAGGCTAACAAACATTTTCTTAAATTTCAGTACGACAGTATTTGGGTAACTGAAGTGCTGTGTTCAAAAGAAGTCACTGCATGATGGCCTTGTGGAGAGGAGTTGTGAACTGAAACCTCATGTTTAGCAAACAATCATCAGTGATGCCTAATTCCTTTTTCTGGGTCATCACTGAAACACTTTTTAATAGATATTTGTAGCTCTGCCACTCACTGTGATTTTGGGGAAATTATTGAACTTCTCTGCACCTCAGTTTCTTAATCTGTAAGATGGGTATAGTATATCTGTTGTGGTTGTTATAAGGAATAATTTAGTTAATTCATGAACAGTTCTTAAAAAAAAAACTAGCATCTAGCAAATTAATTATAAATATGAGACTGTCAATTAAGAGCTCAAAATACAGGTTTCTGGGCCACACCTGTGACCAGCTGAAACAGAGTACCTAAGAGTGAGTATTGCCAATGGAAACCATACTGCTCATGCAATTAGTGTGCTAAATGTAATGTATCAAAACCCTCACCCCAGGAAACACCATTATTTTCTTTTTTCAGTTTCTCTTTCTATACAAGAAATGATCTTGTGTATCCTGAACATTTTATTTTCATCTCTTAAGCACATTCACCTTCTGAGAAAAAAAGAGCCCATCTCCATCCTCAGGATATAGCCTTTGTATGTATTAGTAACTCTTGGTGTGGAACATTTTTAAAGGTGCTTTTCAAAGACTTTGTAAAGTGCATTTGTGGGCTTTTTCTTTATCTACATTCCTATTTTCCACCTCAAAGAGCTTTAATAAGTTAGTAATTTCCTCTTATGAAGCCAAACTTCATTACTTACAACCTCATAAAGTCAGTTACAGACATGCGCTGAAGAGCTCCTGATGCCTGCGAGGGATGACTTTGAATCTCTGACAAAGCTTGCTTTTGAATAAGACTGTAAATAAGGTCACCGTTAACATGGGGAGAAAGGGAGCCATGGGTCTCATTCCTGGGAATGTGGCACATATTCATCATGCCACGTTGATTTCAGTGCAGCAATAATTAGGCTTCACTAATTAGATGCACAAATCAGCACAATGTCATCGTAAGTGGATTAAGAGGGTGACAAGTTCAACTCTAGTGATTTCCCAGCAGGCATGGCAGCCATACACTTTTTTTCCCCTGTTTTCAAGGAACTGAGGAAAAGGAGGTAAAGGCAGTGCCTATACAAGCAGAATGAGACATGGGCATGAAGCCTTCCCGTTTCCTTCATCCCACTCACATAGACTACTTGAGAGCCAAAATAGGGAAGCACAAGGCTCATCAGCAGGAGGTTTGGAAAAGGTGGGCTTATGTATCTCATGGATGCCAGATGAACCTTTCATTCCTTTCCTTGACCTCAGTGTGAAACATAACAATCCTGGGTTAAAAGTGGATCTTCACAACATGGCAATCACTGCTTAAAATGGGTTCTTCAGTTATCCTTTACTGTTTTGAGATTTTTATAATAACCCATAATAGACACACTATTTTTCTAAGAGTTATTTATTTTTCGTACAGACCTTCCCAGAGAGTAATTTAAAAGCATCCATTCTTTAGCTAGAAAAGATGGTCTCTTTTTCTCTTAGAAAATCCTAAGCTTTTCTTTTTCAGACACTGCAGTAGAAGTTTTCATATACAAATGGGAATGATTCTGAGTTATTACTGTTTAGTGACAGTCTGAAAAACAATGCTTGGTTATTTTTTTCTTGAAGTTTGACATCACAGATGTTTTAAACTCTTTCTTTCCTAACAGTGATAGTGTTACCCAAAGCCTGAAAACATTTACTGTTGCTGAGTCTAAAATATTTAAAATATACAGCTCTTTTTTCAAACAGGGAATATGAAGAAGGGAGAAAACACAAGAGGAGGGGGTGGTACCACCCTGCAAAATGTTAAGCAGCTGCAATGGTGATAAATCAGTGTTAAGAATTCAGAAAGGTCACATGGGATGCTTATTTGCTTAGAGAAGCATTTAGTGCATGTGAGTTCCTCCTACCAGGAGGTAAGCTGAGCACTGCTTCAGGGGTGGACCTCTAAAGTGGAATGAACTGAAAAGTTTCAACAGCATCTCCCTCAAATAGCTTAAATTTCCCCTTTTCACAGGCTAAGTTAGATGCTGTAATCTCAGATGGGGATAAGATTCCAGCAAATTCAAAGTGAAAGTCTTATCAGGCTCTTCTATATGCATGAGGCCCCAGATTATTTGAATCAGTAACTCTTTGTGCAGGAAAGAGATATCTAGGAATACTTAAAATCTTTTTAGTCTGCAGAGAAACTTGCACTTACTCCTGGGAATTGATATAATTTTTCAGATCATATACCAGTTTCTTAAGCTAACTAAACTGGCCCTTCAAGGGAATGCTAACACATTCCAAAGGAATACACCTGGGAGTCATCACCACATAGGCCAGCTTCACTAATTTAACCCAGCCTCTATTTCTTGAGAGTGTCTGAGATAATTGGGATACAGAAAGCAGCATTTTGCTAGGTAAGAGTTAGCTGAGTAAAACAATATCTCTTTGTATAGATCTTCTCACTTTAAAAATGAACTCTCCTAGCAGTGTGCCCAAGGAAGTATCTGCTGATGTACTGTGTCTAATAAGAAGAATGCTGGACATTTTGTCCTTTCTTCTTCATATAATCAGCAAGGTGATTGGCTTCTGCGATTAAGGGCCTCATTTACAAAATCTCACGGGCAGTATTCTTATAA